GGATAGGATAGGATAGGATAGGATAGGACAGGATCGAACAGAACAGAACACAACAGAACAGAATAGAATAGAATAACTTGTTTCCCCAAAAATAAGACAGGGTCTTATTTTCTTTTGACCCACCCCCCACCCCAAAAAAGCACTTGGTCTTATTTTCAGGGAGGTCTTATTATTGTTGGTGTGCAGGAGGTGGTGAGTGTGGTCACTTCATGGCTGCTGCTGTGTTGCAAAATTTTCAGTGAGGGCTTATTTTCGGGGGAGGGCTTTTTTTAGTGCATGAGCTCAAAAGCCTGATTGGGCTTATTATCTGGGGAGGCCTTATTTTGGGGAAAACAGGGTAGAATAGAATAGATTAGAGCTGGAAGGGACCTTAGAGGTCTTCTAGTCCAGCCCCCTGCTCAAGCAGGAAAACCTCGACTATTTTCAAGAATCTAATTTCTTCCTCCCAAAGGGTCCTAAGGGCTAACTATTTGTTTTGGGATTGGATTTCTGCTTTGCTTTGTTGTGGGGGTTTTCGTTTTGAAGCAAGCAAAGCATATTCCGTTTAGACACCTGATATATTCAATTCAAGGAAACATCCTCCTGCATCACATGGATTGCACCCGCCAGTCATCCTAAGGGTCAAGGATGCTGCGGAGTTAAGAGGAGTTAACAGGGTCCCCTTTGGAGTTGGCTTCCCCTGCTTCAAAACAATCTCCTTTTGGTCGCCTGTTCTTAGAAGATTCATTTTGGCAGCTGCTGTTCCACTGTTGGGCTTCGTGCCACCCACCCTTGGCATGGAATGTTGTCCAGCCGGTTGAAGTTGGCCATGTGATCCCAGGTAAAGGCTGGCTTAGAAGCGGATTGCCATGGTCAATATTTGCAATAGCTGGAGGGAGGGAGAGAAGAGTGTTTTTTTTTAAAAAAAAAAATCTTCAACTCCCAGCTTCCCGGCCCCAGCAGCTCAGATTGACGCAAAACATTGCTGGAGTTGCTTAAAAAACGTCCTCAAAGCCAATGGGTGGATCTTACTCACCTCCTTTCCTGCAAATGTTTCAAGCATCAAGGAGGGCCGAGGATGAAGGACAGGCTAGAGGAGCTGAGGAGGCGCATGCACGAAGATGGGGACTCTCTGGAGCTGGGGGAGTCCTTCTCCTTCGATAATCCTGTTTTCCAGGAAGATGAGAGCAGCCCCATGCATAAGGTGCTCCAGGAAATAAGCAGCCTCTCCTTGGCTCTGGATAAGTTGGAGCAATCCTCTGAGAGTATCGCCAAGAAGCAGCAGCGGGTGCTTTGCTGCACCACCGAAGCAAGCATTGGCGAGGAGAAAAAAGAGCTCAGCACCATGAAGAACATGTTCACCAAAGAAGCTAAGGCTCTCCAGCCAAGGCTCGGTGACATCCAGGAGACCCTGGCCAAGAAAAGGGCGAAAAGTCTAGCCATCAGCCGCATTCGCTGCTGCCAGTTCTCAGTGCTGGTCAACCGCTACCGAGAGATCATCACCCGCCATTATGCCAAGGAAACCCACTATGTGGGGAAGCTGAAGGAGCAGATCCAGAGACAGACAGAACTGGCAGGCTTGCATCTCCAAGAGGAGGACATCAAGCAACTGGTGGAGAGCTCTACGATGCCGCGCATCGTTGGCCAAGACCTGGAAGTGCTCAAAGCCAAGCAGCACCTCGCCATGGCCCAGGTGCGCCACCAGCAGCTGCTGGACTTGGAGGCCCAGATCAGCGAGCTCCATTCCCTCTTCTTGCACTTGGAGATCCTGGTCCTGGAACAACAAGAGGTCCTCAACAGCATTGAGTACAACATCCTCCACACCACTGATTACATTTGCCAGTCCAACGAGGAGGTCAAGAAAGCCATCAAATATCAGCGCCATTCCCGGTTGTCCACCCTCTTGTCCACGCTCCTAGGCCTTTGCGCCTGTTGTACATGCCTGTCGTGCATGGCAACTCCAAGTGTGTTGCGCTGAACAGCAACAGGACAGAGCTGTTTCTTTCAAGGAGGAAAGAGGAACCCCATTGATGACCGAGAACATCATGGAGCACTGAATGTGCATTGGAGAAGAAGTCAGCCTGGATAAAGGGGGCTGATGGGCACTTCCAAAAAGACAGTTTGGGCTTGAGTCGAGTGGAATATTTTGCTTTATTTTTTGCAAAGCAGAAGAAGGGACTTATACTGAAATAGGACATGGGTTTCTGCAGAGCTCAGCTCCATTTTTTGCTTCTAGCAGCCCATGACTCCTTCTGGACTGCTGGTATGCAGGTTCCCATGGTTCCATGCTCAGTTGTAGGTTTTAACTACCAGGATTCAACTGCCTTCTACACCAAGAGATTCTGGTACACTTGACGAACTGTAGCGAGCGGATCGGTTGTTCTCCTTTTCTGTTTTGGGATTGGGGTTCATCTCTAGGCCACCATTAGGGCAATGACAAAGCTGTTGCCTCATCAGTTCCTGGACCATTTCCTTGAGCTGCAAGTGAGAAGGCTGGATTTACGACGAAGGACCTCTGACGTTCCTGGATAGATGACAATCAACCCAATCACTGTAGAACAGTGCCTTTGTGCGAGCTCAGACTCTCTCTCTCTGTCTCTCCAATCTTTGATGCTTTTGTGCGTTTTAAAAATAAGACTTTTGTTTTTCCAAAGAGGCTCAGGATTGAAGCAAGCTGCTTCAGGAGGCGCCATTCAGGTGAAACGTGGTCTGCGGTGTCTAAAGGCTTCAGCCAAATCTTACAAGAGCTGGTTTTAGCAGACGGCGAAGGACGCCTGAAGAAGTAAGAAAATATCTGGAGCTGAAAAACAGGTTCCGTGGCAATAAGCACTTATTTCTAACTTCCCCGAAATGCTGAAATGAACAACCATACATGCACTTGTAAAATATATTAAAGTCAAGCAATATATTTGCAATCCTGTATCCTCCTTTTTCCTTGTCCCCCCCCCTCCCCTCACCATACTGTTTTTGCCTAAAGATATTTCCTAATATTCTTGCAATGTACCTCCTATTGATTTAATCTATGTTCGTGGGGAGAAAACGTGGCATCTTTCCTCTCAGCTGGGAAATCAAATCACTGTGTCATAGTGTACACAAATAATGTATGAGTTTGCTGGTTGCAGTTCCTGGATGTTGTAATGCAGGCTTTTGTGTCTTACTTACCGTACATTTCACCCAAATAATTGACAATTGTGTTATCTCACACAGTTGACGTAATGTGGAGGGTGAATTAAGGGTGTCAAGGGTTACAAAAACATTAAAAGGTGTGTGTGTGTGTGTAAGTGTTATCACAACTTCTTGGCTATCACACAGAAAGGAAATCAGTTTCCAAATTGTTTGCTTTCTTTTTTTTATAATGTGTTTTTTTAATAATATAATTTATTTGAATACAAACAATCCATCTTCCATTAAACAGTGTGTTGCCTGGGTACAAATGTTTTGTGCAATAAAAATAAAAATTTACAAACATATTCATTATTTAATCTATTCTTAGCTTAATACCAATACCTTAAGTGCCTAATACTATAACAATCCTCTTCTTGATTTATTTAACTCTATTAATACATTTTCTATATTTTACTCATCTACTTTTATTTCTAATTCTTACATTTATTTTCTAACCATCAATAAAATGATTCCCATATGATATAATAACCAGTTTGTTCTTTCTCTTTGATTGCCAATGCTAATCTGTTCGTTTCTGCACATTCTAATATTTTCCTAATCACATTCTCCTCTGTAGGAATCTCTTCGCTTTTCCAGTTTTGTGCAAAATACAACTCTTGCTGTGGTTATTACACGGATAATCAAATATACGTTTTCTTTGCTATAAGTTTCTGGTAAAATCCCCAACAGGAATATTTCAGGTTTTAAGTCAATATGTTGTTGTATCATCTTTTCCAACCACGTATGTATTTTTCCCCAGTATTTTTTTGCTTCTACACATGTCCACCACATATGATAGTATGAGCCAGGTGTCTGATGGCATTTCTAACATTTAGCTGAGTGATTCTTGAGTAAAGATCACAAAATCTGGTACTGCAGATCAAAAGTACCAGTTCTTGGCCACTTGTCTGGATGAACTTGAATTTTGCCCCCTTCAGTTTTCCAGATCTCCTTCAGCTCCTCGTTTTACTGAGAAAAGCAGGGACCATGTGGTATTTTTGTCCTTTAGCAGAATCACATTTTTCATTTGCATTTCATCCATTTTTTTTCTAAGGATGGCAAAGAATGAGTTTTACCAGGAAGCTCAAACCAGAAAACTCAGTCAAGTTTTCTGTTTTCATGGTGAAACAACAATGTCTTTCTTCCACTGGAGAATCTACAAAGGCATTCACCAGCATTTTTTGAGGGAGGGGTCACATTCCTCTGCCAATCTTCTCTCTCTATAAAAATGGCTGTGTGTATGTGTGTATATGTGTATATAGTATGTATGTATCAGAGGTGAAATTCAGCATGTTCTGGAGAACTGGTAGCGGAAATTTTGAGTAGTTCGGAGAACTGGCAAATACCACCTCTGATTGGCCCCAGAGTGGGGAGGGAATGGGGATTTTGCAGCATCCTTCCCCTGCCACGCCCACCAAGCCACGCCCACATAATCGGTAATAAAAAAATTGAATTTCACCACTGGTATGTATGTATGTATGTTCCAGCATTACTCTGGAACGCCTCAAGCAATTTCAACCAAACTTGGTACACAGATGACTTACTCTCTGGAAACGAATACTGTGGGTGTAAGATACCCATAACACCCCTCAATGTGTGTGTGCATGCGTGAGAGAGAGAGAGAGAGAGAGAGAGAGAGAGAGAGAGAGAGAGAGAGAGAGAGAGAGAGAGAGAGAGAGAGAGAGAGAGAGAGAGAGAGAGAGAGAGATTTCTAGCTGAGCCAGAATGACGTGTGGATCCTTGATCACCCACACTCCTTAAAGAAACAGCGTGTGCTGATATCTTCAGATAAAACAATGGCTGACCTAACACACACAGAGAAAAATACATTTTAAGATAAGATAACCTTTATTGTCATTTTTTTTCTGTGAATTTCACAGAATTTCATGTTCTTTTTTTGTGTCACAAATTTATTTTCTTTATGATGAAGAAAATAAATACATATAAATATACACATACATATGCCCTCTCTCTCCCCCACCTTCCCTCCCTCCATATCTCCTTCTATCTTTCATTCTCTCTCTCTTTTTTTCTCTCTCCCTCCCTCCCCCCTCCCCATCTTTCTCTCTCTCTCTCCCTCCCTCCCCCTTCCCTCCCTCCACCTCTCCCTCTATCTCACTCTCTCTTTCTCTCTCTCTCCCTCCCTCCTTCCCTTCCCCCATCTTTCTCTTTCTCTCTCTTTCTCTCTCACACTCACTCTCTCTCTCTCAGTGTTCCAGCATAACTCCAAAATGCCTGGGCTGCTGAAATGAAAAAGACTGAATTATATCTCTAATCACGTCACAGTACTTTTGACAGTGATAAGATTTTGGATTCAAGTTCTGTTAAGATACAGTCTGTTGTGCCTTAAAATACTCCACAGGGGGGTTCCCTCTGGTAAAGGGGAAAATCCAACATTAGAAATTATGTTTGGTCTGGACATTTCCCCCTGTAAATAAACACCTGGGCAACACCGGGTTCTCAGCTAGTTTCTAAATAAAAAATTAAACAATCTTCCTGCATTCCATTTAGGAGCAGCCCAGAGTTTTTGGGCACTTTGAAATGCAATTTCCATAACATAAAAGTTAATCAAGACTTTTCATTCATTCCTCAATGCCTCATTTCTTGGACAGCAATTTCCTTGTCCCTTCTCTTTTGCTTGCAAAAGCTGAACGGTGGATACAATGGAATTTGAAATCTTCAACACATTGGAAGTGCCGTTTCTTATGTCTCATTTTTGCTCTCTTCTTATTTTTGTTGTTTGTGCACTGCTTCCTACGTTGAAGCAAGTGACCTTGCAATAACATAATAAACCGCTCATTAAAACAGGAGTAAACAATGCCCCACTACATTCTCATTAAAAAGAGAAGGGAATAAAAACCATGGATTTTCAACATGCACACAGGGAAGGACTGAATTAAGCGATGGGATTTCAGCAGGCCTCCCACAGATATATGCTAAGCATTTCCTGAATTTCTTATCTGAGACGGCAGCTGTCTTTCTTCTGTTCTTCCCCTCTGAAGTTCCTCACTTGGGAAGTTTTCATTGAGAAAGCTCAGTTCTTACTACAGACTGTGAGCCATATCAAGGGGGAAGATCAGAGAAAGAGCATCCCTAACTGATTTTGGTGCTCAGGTTAGAAGGCATGTCTTCCTCCCCCTCTCTCTCCCTCTCTCCCCCCTCTCTCACTGTTTCCCTCTCCCTCACTCCCTCCCTCTCCCTCTCNTTTTTTTAAAGTTGTAATATATCAATTCAGATTTTTTTTTTTTGCAATTATATTTCTTGAGAACAATGAAACACAAAGGACACACAAACACAGACAGACAGACACACACACACACACACACACACACACACACACACACACCTATACTGTTTACCTGAAAATAAGACCTCCCCGGATAATAAGACCAATCGGGCTTTTGAGCGCACGCAATATAAAAATAAATACTGAATGCAGCAATGTTATCCATATATTAATGGATCTCAGAGAAATATTATTGCAATCCTATTGGTCAGTTCTCTAGCCAGCCTTTTTTAAAATGAACCAAAAAGACTCAATCTCTTGATCTCAAAGGAACACGCCCAAGCGGCCGACTTCCTCTGCTTCGTTTTTCAATAGAACTGCTAACCGCCTTAACTTCTTCACAGTGTAGAAATATGGTGCTTGAAAAATATGCGTGTCCGCAATTACGCATGGATGTGTGTCCTTTGTTACTCGGGTCGAGCATTCAAAACAAAAGAAACTGGAAACGGTAATAATCCTGCGCACCGCCTCCTTAAGTCGATATTTGTTTTGAAAAAAGAACACATTTCGATCCAAGTGTTCCAACT